GGGTGGGTGGGGAGGAGGAAGGGAGAAGATTTGAAACCTAAAGTTTTAAAAACATATCTTTAAAAATAAATGTTTTCACATGCTACTGGGAAATAAGAAATACAGGAAATGGGGTACAGAAGTCTGTCCTGCCCTACAGGAAAATAGAAGGGGAAGGGAATAAGAGAAGGGGAGAGAGATAGAAGAGAGGACAGACTAGGGGAAGGGATATTCAGAATGCATGCCATCTTGGGGGGGGGGAGGGGTGAGATGGGGTGAAAATTTGGAACTCAAAATCTTGTGGAAGTAAATATTGAAAACCAAAAATAAATAAATTTTTATATATATATATATATATATATATATATATATATATATATGAAAGAAAGGCCTCCAGGCCCTGCAGGACTAAGAGTTATGAGTTGCCTTTGCCACACATGTATCTTACACTTGTTCCTTTCTACCTGCATTTTAGTTTGAGCCCACTCTTCCCATGATTTATGTGTGTATTTGTGGGAGGATGTACCCCAGGTAACTACAAAATGTTCCTCCCATAAACCTGGAGTGTGGTCTCCCACAATTACACAGTCTATGGGAAGAGTGGTATAGAAATGGTGAGTAGAGCCATTACAGGGGAATAAACTGCAAAACGTTTTGTAGGAACAATGGCAACGTGGATTTGATTATGGTTCTAGGGCTGGAAAGAGGGGATTGGGTAAATGTATGGCAGCAGAGCATATGGCAAGAAAGATATACAGGATATAAAGTGGAGCATGACTGGGGCTGGCTACATATAGTGGGTCATGTGAAACATTCACTCATCAAGACAGTCCACACCCTAAGAGAGGAGATGGAGTGAAAAGTATTAAAGTCCCCCAGAGCAAGGCCTCTAATAAGGAGGGTCTAGTGTATAGGGAGGGCAAGAAAATGGTTTGGAGTGAAGATAACTATCTATATAGGTGGATCCCTAATTTATATCTCTACTCTCATTTTCTCCCTGATCTCCAGAACCATATTTCTAGCTACCTGCTAGAAATTTCTAGCCACCTAAATGTCCCAACAGCACCTGAAACTCAGAATATATAAAACTAAACTCCTTATCATTCCCGCAAAATCTGTTCCTCCCCCATAATTTCTCTATTTCTGTTGATGGAATCACTGTATTCCCAGCCACCTATACTCTTACCACTAGTCATCTTTGAGTCTTCCCTCACCCCCAAACATCCAATCAATTGCCAAGTCATAGAAAACCCACCTCTAAAATATCTCCTTTTTTCATCCCTCCTTCCATTCTCACTGCTTCTGCCCAAACCCAGGCCCTCATTTCTTCTCACCTAGACTAGTTTAATAGCCTCCTACTTTGTTTCCCCTTTGCCTATGCTTATTGCTTCGATTTCTTTTTCTTATTATTTCTTTAGCCGGTATTTCTGAAACTGTATCAAATATTAGTAGTGACAATGAACAGCCTCCTCAAATTAGAAAGACCTCTACTGTTTCTGTTGTTGTTTTTCTGTCATTTCTCACTCTTCATGACCCCTTTTGGGGTTTTCTTGACAAAGATACTGGAGCAGTTTGCCATTTCCTTCTCCAGCTCATTTTACAAATGAGGAAACTGAGGCAAAGAGAGCAAAGTGACTTGCCTAGGGTCACACAGCTAGTAAATGTTTGAGGCTGGATTTGAACTCAGGAAGAGGAGTCTTCCTGACTCCAGGTCTGGCACTCTATCCATGGTGCCACCTAGCTACTGTTTCTACATTTCTTGAGATAATACTATTTGATTTAGATTTTAGATTTGATTTAGGTAGGTACTATTCATAACATTAAGAAATCATCCATCTATTCCAATGCTTTTTAGTATTTTTAACATAAAGAATTACTATATTTTTGTCAAAACTTTTTCTGCATCTATAATAGGCCCTATCCTTCCAAAATTCTTCCATAGAGGAAGAAGAGATACAGCTGAATTCCTCAAATTGGCCCCCTGGGAAATCACCTTCAGGATCCAGCAAATTGAAAAAAAAGGGTCTTAGTGGAGTGTGAGCTCTATATAAGTCAATAGTGTTATGCAATAGCAAAAAGAAAAGAAAATGGAATGCAAACTTAGGTTCCATTTTTAAGAGAAATGTAATATCTAAGACTAGGGATGTGATAGTATCTCTGCACTCTTTTCCAGTCAGACCATATCTGAATTACTATGTTCAGTTCTAGGCATCATATTTTAGGAAGGATATTGATAAACTGGAGACCACTAAGGACAATCAGGCTATTAGAAGGTCTCAGGTTCATGTCACATGAAAATCATTTGAAGAGTAGTTAATAGACCAACATCTTACACTGTGTAATAAGATAAGGTCAAAATAGGTACATGATTTAGACAAAAACAATAGTACCATAAGTAAGTTAGGAGAGTAAGGAATAGTTTATATGTCAGATCTATGGAGAAGGGAAAGATTTTTGACTAAATGAGAGAGAGAGAGAGCATTATGGGAAGCAAAATGGATAATTTTTATTATATTAAATTAAAAAGGGTTTACACAAACAAAACCAATGCAACCAAGATTAGGAGCAAAACAGAAAGGCGTCTTTGATAAAGGCCTCATTTCTCAAATATATAGAGAACTGAGTCAAATTGATAAGAATACAGGTCATACCCCAACTGATAAATGGTCAAAGGTATGAACAGGCAGTTTTCAGAGGAAGAAATCAAAGTTATCTATAGTCAAATGAAAAAATGCTCTACATCACTATTGATTAGAGAAATTAAAATGAAAACAACTCTGAGTTACCACCTCACACCTATCAGGTTGGCCAATATGACAAAAAAGAAAAATGATAAATGTTGGAGAGGATGTGGGAAAATGGGAACACTAATGCACTGTTGGTGGAGTTGTGAACTGATCCAACCATTCTGGAGAGTAATTTGGAGCTATGCCAAAAGGGCACTCAAACTGTGCATACCCTTGGATCCAGCAATACCACTACTAGGTCTGTATCCCAAAGAGATCATAAAAAAGGGAAAAAACCCACATGTACAAATATATTTATAGCAGCTCTTTTGTAGTGGCAAAAAATTGAAAATTGAGGGGATGCCCATCAACTGGGAAATGGCTGAACAAATGGTGGTGTATATAAATGTAATCGAATACTATTATGCTATAAGAAATGATAAGCAGCTAAATCACTATTGATTAGAGAAATGCAAATCAAAATGACTCTGAGGTACCACATCAAACCTGTCAGATTGGCTAACATGACAAAACAGGAAAATGATAAATGTTAGAGAAGATGTGGGAAAATTGGAACACTAATGTATTGTTGGTGAAGTTGTGAATTGATTCAGCCATTCTGGAGAGCAATTTGGAACTATGCTATAAAATTGTGCATACCCTTTGACCCAGCAATAGCACTTCTAGGTCTGTACTCCAACGAGATCATACAAATGGGACCCACATGTACAAAAATATATATAGCACCTCTTTTATGGTGGCAAAGAATGGAAATTGAGGGGATGCCCACCAATTGGGGAATGGCTGAACAAGTCGTGGTAAATGAATATAATGGAATACTATTGTGCTATAAGAAATGATGAGCAGGTGGACTTAAAAAAAACTGGAAAGATTTGTATGAACTGATGCTGAGCGAAATGAGCAGAAGCAGGAGAACATTGTACACAGTAACAACTACACTGTGCAATGACTGACTTTGATAGACTTAGCTCTTCTCAGTAATGCAAGGATCTAAGACAACTCCAAAAGAGTCATGATGGAAAATGCATCCACACCCAGAGAAAGAACTATGGAGTCTAAATGCAGATAGAAGCATACTATTTGATCTCCTTTTCTTTTGTTGTTTTGTTTCTTCTATCTCATGGTTCCTCCCATTAGTTCTAATTCTTCTTCACATCATGAAAAAAACAAAAAGAAATGATGAGCAGGTTGAACTGAGAAAAACCTGGAAAGACTTACATGAACTGATGCAAAGTAAAGTGAGCAAAACCAGGGGAACATGGTTCACAGTAACAGCAACATTATGCAAAGATCAATGAATAACTTAGCTCTCAGCAATATATAATGACCCAAGATAATTCCAAAGGACTGATGATGGAAAATGCTATCCACATCCAGAGGAAGAACTGACATGGTCTAAATGAAAATCAATGCATACTATTTTCATTTTATTTTTTTCATGTTTTTTTTCCCTTTTCATCTGTTTCTTCTCTCTCAACATGACTAATATAAAAATATGTCTTACATGATAGTACATATATAACCTACATCAAATTGCTTACCATTTTAGGGAGCAGCAAGGAAAAGGAAGGAGAAAATTTGGAACTCAAAAAAATTTTTAATCAATGTTAAAAATTGTCTTTACATGTAACTGGAAAAAGTTTTAAACTTTTTTTTAAAAAAGCCTACTGAGGTCTCTTCCACCCCTGAGATTCTGTGCAATTCTGTGATCCTATGACAATATAATTTAATACTAGTACTACAGTAAGTATACCCTGTAAGATATTATGGTCTATGAGCTTCCCAGAATTAATACATATGAAACCTATAGATGAGAGAATAACAATGTTGAACTAATTATTACAATGACATTTATATAACAGATCAAATGTTATCAATTCCAACACCAAAGAAGAACAATGAACAAATTTATGCATTACCCTCTATTCAAATTTAAAGAATTAATAGTTGATTTTATAAAATAATTAATTGCTTAGATTACAGGTTCATGCTTTGATGACCAGTTATAGGTGTCCATTAATACATGTGTTTGGATTTTACAGGTGTGTTTGAATGTTACATTTCACACTGGGGAACCAAGTTCAGTCAGCACTTTCCTGTAGTAATACCTTGCCTAAGGCATTACTTTAACTAACAGAACTTCAGGAATAAAAGTAAAAACACAAGGAGCATAAGTCACACTTAGTCATTTTCTAATTGTTCATTCCTTCAGTGAACATTGGCCAGCCATAGCATTTACCTTCAATCCAAATTTTTTGGTTTACTCCTGCTTAGGATCAGAATTCTGCCAACAGTGATGTAGTTAAGCTCCTTAAAGAGATTCAGAAGGCTAAGAATATTCTCAGCACCATCAAAGAGATGTACGAGAGCAAGACTTGTGAAGCATTCACCAACATGGCACGAGAAGTAAGTACTGACCCTCCCTGACCTATATTTCTATACCTTTTTGTTGACATCCATGTTCAGCGTTTGCCAAGGAAGCTTTTGGCATCTCATGGGACATTTTACCCAGAAGGAATATGCAGAGAGCCTCTGAAAAATTATTTTAATTTTTTAGTCTTATCTAAATGTCTACAGGAAGGAAGGCTGGACTAACAGGATTGCTCCCAACGGGAGTTTGTGTACCCAAAGTTGAACAATCCAAAGTCCTTGCCATCTGATATGGACCCAAAGCTTTCTGAATCTGGTTCCCCTGGAAACAAAATCAGCCTTCATCCACCAAAACAATCAAGCCTGATTCTTTTACTTTCTCTTCATTTTCCCTGTTCGATGTGCCCCAGGGAAGCCAAAAATGGTTTTCACCACTTTTGGTCATTTTCACTTCCATAATGAGAGAACTGCAGGTGTTCTCTGTTCCCCTCATGACTTCCATGGAAGGAGGCTTCATATGACTATGAGATGGCTTGAAGATAATTCTTCTATTCTCCTGCCTCATTTAGAACAATCCCAGTGCCTTGTGGGTATAATTAATGGGAACTTGAAAACAACTTAATAAGTTAGTTGTTTACTAGAGCCTAATGTTAGGTACAGCTTCAAAAGCCCTCTTTCTTTTTCTTCATTTCATATTAATGGGCACAATAAATATTGCATGTCATTTTGGCTTAATAGAAAACACAGCTGTTGACAAAGCAAGATTAAGAATGAAAACATATATTATTCCCCTGGTATGCTGGTGTATGTGGGGCAGCAAGGTGGCATAGTGGATAGAGTACTAGACCTGGAGACAGGAAAACTCATCTTCCTGAGTTCAAATCTGGCCTCAGACACTTACTAGCTGTGTGACCCTGGGCAAGTCACTTTGCCCTGTTTGCCTCAGTTTCCTCATCTGTAAAATGAGCTGGAGAAGGAAATGGCAAACCACTCCAGTATTTTTGTCAAGAAAATCCCAAATGGGGTCACGAAAAATAGAACACAACTGAACAGCAAAAATACTTCAGCATAAGTGAACAAAGGCATTTCTAATATATCATGGCAGAGGGTAAAATAGCACTGGACTGGAAACTTAGGTTCCAATCTTGACTTTATACTATGTGTTCATAGTCAAGTCAGTTATTCTCATTGATTGTCAGTTACCTTATCTTCAGAATGAAGGGGCTGGACCAGGAGTTTCCTCCTCCCTTCTTTGCTGCTGATTCCAAGTAGGCTGGAGTCATGGTGGTACACGTTGTTGACATCCATGTTCAGCGTTTGCCAAGGAAGCTTTTGGCATCTCATGGGACATTTTACCCAGAAGGAGTATGCAGAGAGCCTCTGAAAAATTATTTTAATTTTTTAGTCTTATCTAAATGTCTACAGGAAGGAAGGCTGGACTAACAGGACTGCTCCCAATGGGAGTTTGTGTACCCAAAGTTGAACAATCCAAAGTCCTTGCCATCTGATATGGACCCAAAGCTTTCTGAATCTGGTTCCCCTGGAACCAGAAGTGGTTATAATACATTCATCCACATTTTACCATGATACAAAGAGCATAGCAAAGGATAACAAAAAAAAAGAGGCAAATGTTGGAAAGGATGTGAGAAAACAGAGCTGCAAACTGGCCCAACCATTCTGGAAAGCAATTTGGAGCTATACTCGAAAAGCTATTAAACTGTACATATCCTTTGACCCAGCAATATTAGATCTATACCCCAAAGAGATCAAAGAAAGAGAAAGAGAACCCATACATACAAAAATATTTAGACAGCTCTTTTTGTGAAGGCAAAAAAATGGAAACCAAGGAGACATATCAAATTGGGGAATGGCTAAACAAGTTATGGTATATGAATATAATGAAATACTATTGTGCTGTAAGAAATGATGAAGACTTGTATGAACTGATAGAGTGAAGTGAACTGAACCAGAAGAACAATTTATATAGTAACAATATTTTAAAGAGATTCAACTTTGAAGGACTTGGTAACTCTAATCAATACAATGACCCACCACAAATCCAAGGACTGATGAAAAGCATGATAAAACATGCTTTCCAACTTTAGATAAAGAGCTGATGGACTCAGAATGTAGATTGAAGCATATTTTTTTCCTTTCTCTGCCTTTCATTTTTTTTTCTTTTTGGAACATAGCTAATGTAGAAATTTGTCTTGCCTGACTATATACATATTTGTAATAAATTTGACTTTTCTTGCCTTTTCAGTGGGTAAGGGAAAAGGAAGGGAGAGAATTTGGAATCAAAAATAAAATTGAATAATAATAAATAAATTGAATTCTAAATAAATTTTTATAAAATTGAAATTTTATAAAATAAATTTTTTTTATTTATAAGATTTGAATTTTGAAATTGATTTTTTAAAAAGACCATAGTAAATGAGCAAGACTTTATGTTTCTTTCCCATGCATGTACATTTTCCAACATAAATATCAATGTTGGTAGAGAAGAGAGTAAAGAAAGTACTCACAATAAAGTTATTGTGTAGACTAGGGGAATGGGGAGTGATGACTGTACTAGATTTCTCATTGGGAATTCTAGCAGTTCCTGGGGAAGGTGAAGGGGAGAGGGTTGGGATAGTTGTGGTTAGCTTAGAGATTTACCAAATAAGGTTTCTAGGTCTACTGGTAGATACCAATCTAATGGTTGAGGACGCTTGGATTTTAAAGTCTTTCCTAGCTCTAAAATTGTTTGACTCCATGATATTTTTATGCTCAATTTAGATTTCTACAGAGTTTACAAAATTGCCCATATCCAGCTTCTTACCCAAGCCTCCAAAGCATGAGGGCCCTCTCAAAATTAAAATCCCAAACTTCTTGACCAGAACCTCTGCAGACTGGCTGAAGACAAATGGATTGAAAGGTATTTTCTTCAAGGAGTGGACACAAATAACTAAATACTACCCATTAGGTCTTGGTAAAAATACACACCCATATACACACACATACAAATGTATACATACATATACACATAGAAATATATACACACGCATACATACACATACATACATACATACATACATACATATGCGTGTGTGTGTATCCTGAACTTTATTGTCTTTACAGCCAAGAAGTTAAGCCTTTACCAAGTTTTGGCTCCTAATGCATTCTCTCCCATGGAAGAATTTGTGCCCATTCTCCAGAAAACAGTATCTTCAACTCTCCATGAGGTAATTCAAGATAGCCAGGATGTGTTAATGGAAATAATACTGCATCTGGTAGAGAGCATGGGTTCAAATCTTGACTCTGCTTCTCACTATATGTGTGACCTTGGATAAATCATTTACACTCTTTGTGCCTCAGTTTCTTCATCTGTAAAAGATAAGAGTTAGACTAAGATGGCCTCTAATTTTCCTCCGAACTCTAAATCTAACAAACCTTTTTTATAGAGGATGGTGCGCTCCATCTCACTGTTTGTTCCTTTAACATGTAGAAAAGCATCTGAAAAGAGCACCCTTTTTGGTAGCTAGATGCTATACATTTTATCACCCTGTCTCCCAAGTACCCCCTTCGCTGCTGCTCCCAAGGAAGGTGAGGATGTGGTGGTGGTTGCTATAACCTTAAATATGGTTGTAATTCATTTTCCCCTTTCTCACCATGATACCAAGAGGCCAGTGCACAAGTAAGGCTTGACTCAATTTCCCTATACTGTTCCCCTGTATGCAGAAAGCAATGATACAGTTTGAATGGCATGATGGAACCATGAAGAATATCCATGTGGACCCACCCCTTCTGTATGACTATCAGGTTAGTGATTGACTTTTGGCCTGATCTTCACACACACATACACACACACACACAGAGTAGGAAGAGTGGGAGAAGGCAGACATAAGAGGAAATAAAAAAGTTCCCCCATCTGTCTTTTTTTTAATTCAAGGCTACCTTACCCAACTTTTCCCATGTAGGTGGTGCAGTGCATAGAACACTGAGCCTAGAGTCAGGAAGACTTGAGTTAAAACCAACCTCAGACATTTACTGGCCACATGACACCAGGCAAGTTATTCATGCTTTGTCTGCCTCAGTTTCCTCATCTGTAAAATGGAGAAAATAATAGCACCTATCTTTCAGGGTTGTTGTGAGGATAATATTTGTACTTAACCCAGTGTCTGGTACATAGTATGTGCTACATAATGGTAACAGTAGTAGTAGTAGTGGTGGTGGTAGGGATAGTAGTAGTGGTAGTGGTGGTAGTAGTAGTAGTAGTAGTAGTAGTAATAGCTATTATTTATATAGTGCTTACTATGTACCAGCACTATGCTAAGCACTTTACAATTATTATCGCATTTGATCCTCACAACAGCACTGGAAGGTGGGCAATATTATTATCGCTGTTTTTACAGATGAGGAAACTGAGGCAAATAGGGATTAAATAACTTGCTCAAAGTCATTTAGCTAGTAATCGTTTGAGGTCTGATTTGAATTGAGGTCTCCCTGACTCCAGAGCACTCTATCTGCTGCACCACCTAATGCTTCTTCCCTTCCCTTCCCTGATGGGATTTATTATTATTGTTGTTATTGTTCTTACACTTATTATTGTGAAACCATTAGCACAATACCTGGTCAGGGTTGTCCCAGGACCTAACCACAATACTTACCCCTCCTCCCACATCCCTTACTTTGCCTTCCTTGGGAAACGGTTGTTTATTGAGTCTGTCTGACCTGGGGGTTTGTAGAAGCAGCTCAGCAATGCCATCCGGATGTTTGAGAGGCGGATTGAGTGGCTTTCCATCTCCAGCAGGAGAATCTGGGGCACAGTCTGTGAAAAAAGGTATTTTCTCCTATGTGGTTCCCTGTCTGCTTCATTATGTTTTTTTGGAGTAGGAGTAGCAAGGTCTTAATCTTTTCCCCAAAACAATGAGGCCTTATCCTTTCCCTCATATGCTGAACAGTCAACCTCACCACTCTGTGGCCCACCCTATCACCAGCGACCTTGTGGTCTAGGGATTTTCCCTGCCAGATAGGAACTTCTGTGATGTCAAAGCCCTCATTACCATTTCATTAATATGACAATGAAGGGGCTCCTGGAGAGTGAAAGTATAGCTGTTTCACAATAGCCACCCCAAAGGCCCAGTCAGCTCTGGCCAGTGGCAAGTTTGTTTGTTTGTTTGCTTGCTTGCATAGCACAAAGATCACATCATAGCAAATTTCCATAAGTCACTCCCCGCGTCAGCCCCAATATAAGCAAGTCCCCATTCCCTTCCACCCACCCAGCCAGCCTCCTGACACTGCTTGGTTCTGTTTGCTTTTACGACAATAAGGCTTCACCCATTAAGAAACAAGTCCGGCTCTCGGGTAATCTTTACCCTTTGAATTCGCTCTCCCACTGCAATTTTTATCATTATTATTTCCCCCACAACGATTTTTAGTTGCAGGATCATTGACTCCTACGGCTTTGAACTAAGGAAATGGAGGTCAGTTTACTCATTTCCATGCCTTGGGATATGACCATGCTGTAACTATCCCAGTCAAAATATTCCATATTTTGAGACTTCTGGAGGAAGAAATGATACACCCTTCCTCAGGCCACTTTCTCTAGTATTCTAGCCATACCTTTATTGGCTTCAAATTTTACAGATTTTGGACAGTGCTGAGCTCAGCTCATGAAATTCCCCCTGGAAAAAACTTTAAATAGTAAAATGGAACAAAATAAACATTAGCTGAGAGATTCAGTTCTCCTTTTAAAGGTTGTGTTTCTTTTTAGGGTGGTTATACTGGTGGATATCTCAGTGACCAATTCCATGTACATTATTCATATCCAACATTCCTTAAGACTTCTGCTTGAGGAGCAATTGTCAAACAAGGATTGCTTCAACATCATTGCGTAAGCTTCTGATGATGAGGGTGGGGTTATATTTATTGGGAGGGAGTTTGTTCAAAGAGAGGTTACTAGCAGCAAGATGAGGATAGTGATAGATAATAAAGGGACAACGTCATTCGATGGCTATCGCTTTATCTGATTTGGATGATCTCGGGGTTTTTAGCTTTGAATAATTAAGTGGTTGCAGGAGTCCATTGGGGCAATGGTGATAGGTGGCCCCAAAACACACCACTTGATCAGCCAGGATAAAATGTAACCAAATCCCATGGCTGGGTTTGTTCTAATGACTCCTATGCTGCCATACTAAAAAAAAAAAAGACACAAATGGACTCGTAAGGTTCACACTTGCCTTGCTTCATAGGATTATTTGTTCTAGACCATGAGTTCAAATGGAAAATATTCAAAGCTCATAATACTGCAAAGACACAGTTGTCTGAATTCCTGTATTACCCTACTTCTAACCAGTCTTAGTAAAATCTCATAGTAAAATCTCAACTAAATCAGCTAAAGAGTTGAATTTGGCTAAGACCCTCCCCCCCAAAAAAAACATGGAGAAACGATTTTTTACTATGTTTGTTCTACTTTAATAGGAGCGATACAAATAAAAAAGAAAGAATGAAACAAATAACAAAAAAAAAAGCTTATGTCAGAGACTTATTTTTTCCAAAAAGCAGTTCCTAGGCTATGTCCCAGGATCAGCATATATCCAGTCCAATCTCCTATACCTTCTACAGTTAGAGTCCTATAGAATGACTCCAAGACACCAAGTTATCAAAAAAAAGTTCAAATATGTGCAATCTATTGTATTTACGAAAGCAGGAAAGTTAACTCATGGATTTTAGATTCTCAACGATAGTTAGCTAGACCCCCTTATTCTCTTGTTAATCAAGTTTTATTCTAGGAAACCATGTGTCTATGCATGTGTATTCAATTAAAGAGATATTTTTTGGGGTGGCTAGGTGGCACAGTGGATAGAACACCAGCCCTGAAGTCAGGAAGATCTGAGTTCAAGTCCAGCCTCAGACCAAACACTTGAATTTACTAGCTGTGAGACCCTGGGCAAGTCACTTAACCCCAGTTGCCTTAAAAAAAATAAAGAGACATTTTTTAACTGTGGCAGGAGTTGCTTTTCTTTTCTCGTTCTATACCAGTTATTGCAGCTAGGTGGCACAGTGGATAGAGTTCTGGGCCTAGAGTCAGAAAGAGGAGTTCAAATCCAAGATGCATGATCTTGGGCAAATCATTTAACCTTTCTGTTCCTCAGTTTCCTCAGCTGTAAAATGGGGGAAATAATTGGACTTACCCCCCAAGGTTGTTGTGAGATTCAAATGAGATATCTGTAAAGCACACAGTACAGTGCCTGGCCCATAGCAGGTGCTACATAAATGCTAGCTATTATTACTATTATTTCCCTGTTAACCTGCTTTAATATAAAACATGCTCCAAAACTATTTGGAAAGGCAGCACAAGGTAGAGGACATCAAGCCATCCTCCTAACCAGAAAGACCTGTGTTCATATTCCTGCTCTGACATGTCTTAGATGACTGTAAGTTGCAGAGGTGTTGACCTGAGTTGGAAGAAGGAGTCTCCTCACTCTGGAATTCTCTATTATACCAATAAAATCACTGGTCCAATCTTTATCCCTATCATTTAAAATAGATACCTACATATTATTTCCCAAATGACTTTTGGTGTGCTCCCCAAGAATCTCAAGAGATGAAATAGAGATAATAATCGCTGTTCTGCCTATCTCACAGGGTTTATTGTACAGATTGTATGAGATAAAATATAGGAAGGGATGAAGACTGATTTCATTGTTAAAAGGAGATCCCAGGTAAGGAAATTCCCTCTACCAGTGCAGTTCAGCACCCTCTCTGCAACATATGGTCTTAGCACGAAGAGTCCAGAGCCCTGAGAAGTCCAGTGACTTGCCCCAGGGCCATACAGTCAGTATGTGTTAGAATTGGGACCAGACTCCAGGTCTCCCTGGCTCCAAGGGTGACTGTCTACTATGCAAAACTACTTCTCAAATACATAGGAAAGCCCCTTATGACAATATAAATGGAGGAGATGGTGATTGTAATTATGTTGATAGTGACAATGATAGTGACAATGACGATGATTCCCTTTGAAGGTTTGGAAGTATAGTTGAAAGCTGGAGACCTGAGATGGTTCCCTTAACCCAAGAGAACTTGCAAAGTGCCTGGCGGTAGGTGATAGGGGGAAGATATGTCACTCTTCATTTGTCCTCTGGATGCCCACGCTTGAGCCATTGTTATTTGCAATCTCTAACTTTGCCTGGCCATCTCTCTCATCCTCTAACAGGCATACAACAGAAAGCCACCTTCCCCAGATCCTCTTTTCCATCCTCCCTCCACCCACAAACATTTCTATTTTTACTCTCAGCTTCTCATTAACAATCATATCCTCTCCACACACTCCTCTGAATCTTGACCTTTCCCCTCATCTCTCCAGCTGGATCTTGTCCCTGAACTGCAAGGGCAGCAGAAATGTCCTCAGTGCTATGAGGAAGGCAGTAGAAGTGGACTTTAAGGATAAAGACAAGTTCAGTTCCCAAGGCATCTACATCTTCACTGGTGGAGTACCTGATCAGGAAATGGTATGTAGGATGGGTCCTTTAGACTCTCCAGGACTTATTTGTCAATGATGATTGACCCACAGGCCAGTCTAGAGGCAAATGGTGACAAACGTCTCCTGAAATGGTCAGAGATTTGTATAAATGAATATAACTCCTCAGACTGGTAGCATTTAAGACAAGGAAATCTCACACATGATATAAGGCCTGGCTTTCAAATAAACCTCAGAAGCAGTTTTCAATACCGAGTGTCTAAATAGGTTCTTAAAAGAAGAATGCCCCACTGCACCTGATACAGTGGAAATTCTGATCTTCTGGATGAAAAGGAAAAGCAGAAAGACAAGGAAAATGAAAAAACTTGTTTCCTGGAACTTCTGCAGGTTTCTGGGAGTAATGCAGAGGCCAGGTCAATTTGCTTGCTTCTTCTGGCCTGGTTCAGTTATTGCTATAATAGAGGGCAGGACAACAGAGCCCCTAGGCTGTAAGTCAGCCTGCCCCATTGTCCAGAAAGCAGAAGAAATTAAATGGGTAGGAGTATAGGGACAAATGAAGCCAGCTGCCAGGTCAGTCTGCCCAGATAGATACTTTCCAAAAGTGGAAGAAGGGAATGTTTTCCTTCTATTTCTCCTCTCATCTTTTCAGGGTGATTTAGAATTTCTTTTCTAGGATATGACTTTCCTGATGCCATCCTCGAGGAATCTCTGTTTGAGAGACCATCTAATCTGAATCCTTGTAGATTCTTCTCCAAGCATCCTTCCTCCCTTCCCAGGAGCAGGAGAGTCTTTAGGAAGCCCCACTAGCCTCTCTTCCACTTAGGTGTTGACCCCTTATTGGTCAGCTGGCAAGAGCAATTCCATCTCCCTTCCTAGTCTGTAGTAAGATGGGGTCAGAATGTTCAAGTCCAAGCTTCAGGCACCCTGTAGCCTGTGAGCCCCCACAGCTACTCATCTTCCCACAGCCTATGGTCAGTGCCTATGTCGCCGAGACCTGTGGTGGCTGTGATCTGAGGATTCATGTTTGCCTGTTCCACATCGAGTTAGAGATGGATGGCACAGTCCCTGCCCGCTATGCCAACAGGACTGACACAGCCTCTGCTTACAAGGAGGTCACTCGTGCATCTAATGGGAGATTCCACTGGTTTGGTGACACAGGTTAGTGAAAGTCTTGGCTGCTTTCTCCTTTTGGGGGCAGTTCTCTGCTTTTTATACTGATTAGTAATTAGGCTATAACCTGTGCCTGACCAGAGTGGGGACTTCATTCCAGAAGAGTGATGCACTACAAATGTACCTGTGAGTGAGACACCTCTCTTTAAAAAATAAAAAATAAAAACCTGAGTAGCATTGTTTACCAGACTATTAGAAATACTCCCATGGTCATGTGCTTCTACACACGTCCCACAAGCCTTGTGAAGTTGGGATCTTTTAGCTTTAGGAAAAATGCATCATGGCAGACTGAACCCAACAACTCACACACTTTCGACTGTCTTTGAAAACAGGAATGTAAATTTCTTAGGCATACAAAATTACAATATACCCTGATCATATTGAGGGAAATTTTAGCTCAAACACAAATATACAAATCATCATTTATCATTATAACAGGAATTGACTCAATCAGATAAACTACTTTGCAAGTACTTAATTTTAACAACTTGTAAGAGTAACACACACCTGGCAGAGTAGACACATATACAAAAATGTAACACTCCCACTCAGGCAAGGTAAGGGAGAGGCAGCCCTAGGCTTCATGCTGCATCTGCACTCAGCAACATCTCAACCAATCAGGAGTCATGTCAACCTTTGATAAATGTAGTTTGCAGTCCAGAACTGCCCCTCCTCGACCATAACCAGCAGGAAGGTGTTACAGAAAAGAGATGAACAGTGTTGAGGTTAATGAAAGGGAAATACCACATACATACAGCAGAGAGAATATGAGGAATAGATATGGAGGCTGCAGTTTACAAGGAAAATTCCTCCAGGGAGCCCAGAGAGAGCAGTAAAGATAATTTTCCTAAGTTCCCTTTGGACCATTCCCGTTGAGGTGTGTTGAAACTCCTAATTAAGCAGAATGAGCCTCTGAAGCTCACAACCTTCAGAGAGAGAGAGAGAGAGAGAGAATATGAGAATATATGTATGTGGATATGCATATATATATATATATATATCTACATACATATACATAGCTACATACATATGTCTGTGAGTAGATATAGATATAAATATGTACAGGGTATCCCAAAAGTCTTAATAAGACTAAGACTTTTGAGATTCTCTATATGTGTGTACGTGAATGTGTATGCAGAGAGAGAGAGAAAGAGGGAGAGAGAAAGAGGGAGGGGGGAGAGAGAAAGAGGGAGAGGGAGAGAGAAAGAGGGAGAGGGAGAGAGAGCGAGAGAGAGAGAAAGAGAGAGAGAGAGAGAAAGAGAGAGACTCTCCCACGATTACCTTCTGCCAAATTCTGACCTGTAAGTTACAGACTGAACTTGCAGTTTTTCTGGGCTTAGTTTCTCTTCATCACGTTTTGATTCTAGGTTGAGTGTGGTCTCAGAATTGTCAGTTTATTCAATATGCCTTCATGATATCCAACAGACAAAGTAGTCATTAGGTCTATGTTCGGCCAGGTAAGGGTGTTCCCTTTTAAAAAAGGAAAAAGAACGAATGCATTTTTCCGGAAAAGTCCTTCCCATTGTTCTTATATATCTACCTGGGTGCAATTCAATTCTTAGACCATTATTTCAATGGCTTCAGTGTGTGTTTCACAAACATTCCTTTAAGAAACATACCAACATACTTAATATTTCACAATAGATTTGTTCCTGAGACATTTTGTATAAATAAAACTTCTGTGAATTAAGTCCTAAAGCGGGAATAATCTAATGGAAAGATCCTAAAACCAAGAGTCAGACTTTGCTACCACATAACCTTAAGCAAGCTGATTAATCCTTGTGCCTCAATCTCTTTATGTATAAAATGGTAATTATCCTATCCACCCTACCCATATCACAGGGCATGAAATGTTGGCATGAAATCACAGATGTGAGTATAATTTGAAAAGTATAAAGCCCATTTCAGACCTGGAAGAGACCTTAGAAATCATCTATGATCCTAAGACCTGATATTTCATTTCAGGTCTTCAGGAAACTGAAACTCTGGGAGCACATACAACTGGCCTGGGATCATGAAGCTAGTTAGGAACACAGCTGCAACTAGAATCTAGGTCTGCTAATAATAATAGCTAGCAGGGGCAGCTGGGTGGCGCAGTGGATAAAGTGCCTGCCCTGGAGTCAGGAGGACTCGAGTTCAAGTCCGGCCTCAGACATCTAACACTTATTAGCGGTGTGACCCTGGGTAAGTCACTTAACCCCGTTGCCTAGCAAAAAACAACAAAATAATAATAGCTAGCATTTGTCTAGCATCTACTATGTGCCAGGTGCCGTGCTAAGCACTTTACAAATATCCTTTCATCCACACAACAACCCTGCAAGACAGGTGCTATTATTATCCCCATTTTACAGTTAAGGAAGCAGAAGTAGACAGATTTACCCAAGGTCACACAACTACCTGAGGTGGGATTTGAATTCAGGTCTCCCTGAGTTCAGGCCTAGTGTTCTATCCACTGAGCCACCTGTGCGCTTTCCATCCCTATGCTAAGCCAAAACACATGGAAGACATTATTATTAATATATTTTAATCATTATATCAATAATGATGTTGATATAACAGGATGGGGACTGGATCTGTGATTTTATTATTAGAACAGGTCAGCATCTTCTCTGCAAACTTTTGGCCTGTATCACGCTTTTTACTTGTGTTTTTGGAACATCTAGTGCCTAGCACATACTAGTTATCTAATAATTACTTACTGATTGATTAAGAAACTTGCCTAAAATGAAAAAAGTGACTTGTTCACAGTCATGCTTCCAGTATTTGTCACAGGTGAGACTTGAACTTGGGCATCCTTGCATTGACATTGCCTTTCTATAGCCTTAGATATAATCCTGATAATAATTATAAGGGAAATTTGCTAAATAAAGGAATCTAAGGTGAATCATCTTATAAAGCAGATAACCAGATACACCTAACTTATTTGTATAAATCTGAATCAGCATATATCGTGTTCCCTTTAAGGCAGGGTACAATTCACCAAGATCCAAGGTTAGTCTTAGGATGTAGAGGTGGAATCAAGGCTTTGTTCTTGGTAAAGGTCATTAAGGTCTGGTGGTGAGAGCCCGAAATGGGGAGCCAGGATGTATAAGTCATTTAACCCTTTCCTCCAAGCTATTGAAGAAAACAGCTGTGAAGATGGTTCATCTAAGTTCCAATGGGTCCCTGCAGAACACAAGCTTCTGTTGTTTTAATTAACTCCTCTGGCATATAGTTCTTGCTTAAAACCACTTTCCCACAGTCACTCAATGTTTGGCTTCCAGGCATCTTCGAGAGTGATGATATCAGTACTATCGCCTTGGAGATGGAAAAGGCCATCAACTACTCCCAAAAGGTGCCTCTCTGCGCGACAATTACCTAATTACCTTCCTTCAGTAACAGGTTTTTCCCACTCTTTTCCCCTCCAACCCACCCCAACTCAACCACAGGGGCTTCCAGTGTGCTAAATCAATGAGAGTTTCTCTTTTTAAAACCCAGGTCTTCAGAACAGGGTAAAGAGGACAGGGATATAGTTAGGACTGCCCCTAAACAAAATTACAAGGGAACTTGGGCCTCTCTCTTTCCTTTCTTCCTTCCTTTCTTCCCTCTTTCCTTCCTTCCTACTTTTCTTCCCTTGCCATTCTGTCCCTATATCTATGCTGTTCTCCCCTGCCTAGACTGTCTTACTTCTTCTACCATTCCTCCACCTTCTATTTATCCTTTAAGGCCTAACTCTAAATCAATCTCCTTCATGATGCTATCCTGAGCCCTTCCCCCCCACCTCACCACAACCATCCATCCATCCAGAAGTGATTTCTCTTCTTCCTTCACACTCCTGTAGTACTTATTGTCTGTACTATTTGTTTGGTACATATATTGCTTTATATTGTAATTATTTATAAACTTATATCATTTTCCCTTAAAAGCCCAAGCTCCATGAGAGCCCAGACACTGCCTAATTCATCTTTTTATCCCCCCACAATATATGCAAACACAATGGCTCATACATGACTGCAGTGCCTGGACTCTCAGGTCCCTCTGGAATCTTCTCTAAAATCCTTTCCTATACCTCATCAAAACATACCTCCTTCATCGATTTCTCTTTGTCTCACTCTCTTCAGTTCCTTTGATTCAACTAGATCTGATAAACGAATTTATGTCATCACTATTGGGTGATATTGGCTCCTTATTATATTAGTCATTCTAGGTCTGATACTTCTGATTTAATGGAGGCCTTCAATATCTGACCTAGGAAGAATTTCAGGCCATTGGAGAAAGAAGCTCTGGGGCCAATGGACCTTTGGAAAATCTTCCAATCTGATCACAAAGACAACCTATTCTTTCTACGGATTAATGAAGTTATAGAAGCCAATGTTGCTATCTATGCTCCATTTGGGAAAAAAACAATACTGCTATGATTAATACTAAACAGCAGCCACAAGGCAGTCCATGATTTCTAAAGGAAGGACCTAGGGGACCCACTTTCGATAAGTCCTAGAGGTCCCATTATTTTCAATAGGGCTTGTAAGGCCTGTCATTTTAATAATTTAATGAAGTTTCACCATCATCACCCCACCACCACTGTCCATGAATTGAACTTGCCCTTAATATATTTAGATGAGACTACAGGTTGGCACTAACATTTCACTTCACTCTTTCAGTGTGCTTTGCTGGTAGCATCCCTCAAAAACCAGTCTGGAAGCTTGGCTGAAAGCCCACCGGTACCCAAAGAAGAGCCAAAGGTGTTCAAGGAAAAAAGTCAGCCTCGAAAACTTTGCTGCCCTAAGCCTGTCAAACTCTCAATGGCCAGAATGGTTTGACTCCCCTTTATTAATACCAATGAGTTGTTGTTGTTAAGTGGTTTTTTAGTCATGTCCGACTCTTTGTTACCCCATTTGGGATTTTCTTGGCAAAGATACTGGAATGGTTTGACATCTCCTTCTACAGAGGAGGAACTGAGGCAAACAGGGTTGAGTGACTTGCCCAGGGTCACAGAGCTAGTAAGTGTCTGAGGCCAGATTTGAACTCAGGAAAAAGAATATTCCTGACTACAGGTCCAACACTCTATCCCCTATACCTTCTAGCTGCCTAACAATGAATACCTGTGTGTTTTACCTTGTCTCTTGATCATTCTGAGGATTTTGAAACAGCTGTGGCCAAGGACACAGTCCAGGGCCCCTGGATAAAGGATAGAAGCTGGGTAACCAGTAAATAACAACCAGCATCTCCATCTTACTAAGGGCCAGAACCCATAACAGCTCAAGTTAGGGGGAAGGGGGTAAGTAGCAGCACCCTGCCCACCACTTCCAGGAAAGTAGAGTTTCTGAGAAGACTGCTTGTCAGCTCAGGCTATTTGGTGGGTAGATTGGGTCTGCAAAAGACATCAAAACTAATCTGAACCTGAACCTGATTCAATTTGGTTTGCCTGGATTGACTTTAGAGGACAGTGCTAGGGTAATGGAGTTGGCACTTAGGATGGGCACCATTGTATTTAGTGGAACTGAAGCAGAGGGGACTTATTCTGTAGGAATATCCAGGGACCAGAAGGAGCTGGAATAGACTGAAGGACTATAGCTAAAAGAGAAAGAAGGGAGGGAAGAAAAAGCAGATGGTTTATTCTTCATCCTGGGCAAATCCACATAAAGTCACTTCCTCATCTTGGCCATTAGAAGGGTATCTTATTCAGAAGTATCAGATTTGTTTATGTATTTTTGTGTATGTGTATTACCTAACACATGTGAGTCCCCAGGGGGAGGTCTGGGCCTTTCCAAAAGACCCCAGAGCTGACAGCCTGTAGTAGAGCTTGGGAATAGAAGCAGGGCGATGACACACATGCCCTTCATTGTTTAACAATGATATTAATGTTCTTAAAGAGGCATCTGTCCCTGAAAAAATATAGCTACCATTCAGTCAATACTCAATTCCATTTGCACAGATGTCATCATTCAGGGGTTTCATTCAGGTTTCCAGGGTACTTCATCCTTTCCTACCCTGCCCTCTAAACACTTGTTGATGATTAAAACAAAAAAATAATAAACACCACAGTCCCAGGACCTTTCTCTTATCATCTTGTCTAATAGTTACTGAGCCAAAGGCCTGAAGTGGCAACCCCGTGGACTATCAACGCCTGTAACAAACTCTTGTAGATTTAGGGCTTAAATGGGATGGGCCCTCCCTTAAGAGTTTCAGATCTCTTACCTTTTTCATGTGGGTACACAGAGAAAGGGCCGCTCACCTGGCATGTTGGAGGAGACTGAGAGTGGGTTTTGTTTTTTTAGCTGAATGGCTACTGCCTTCCAGTAACATTTAATAACTCAAAAGAAAACAAAACAAAAACTTTTAGCTTGACAAATAGTAGCTTGAATAAGTGTGTGTGTGTGTGTGTGTGTGTGTGTGTGTGAGAGAGAGAGAGAGAGAGAGAGAGAGAGAGAGAGAGAGAGAGAGAGAGAGAGAGAGACTCCTCAAACAAACCAGTGGGAAACGCAGAAAATTCTACTCGGTGGGAAAGGTAGAAACAGGTCACTTCAGTCTTTTTGCCAAGCTCCCTGCCTTCATGGACCCATCGTTATAGTGTGGTAAGGGCCTTGAAGTTCCACAGAATCTAACAAAACTTCCTACAGGAATTGTCCTCATACCTCTCTTTCTACTTTTCCCTGGGCTCCTCTCTCAAGCTCTACCTTGCATGGATTATAGTAATAACATAGTAATAAGTTGAGAAGAAGGTTCTCAGGGGCTGGCATATTACTGGGATGCAGACAGCCTAGAGACCAAGACATCTTTTCCAGCTAGCCTGTTTTTTTTTTAGAGCAATAAAAGTGATCCTGACAAAGACAAGATTGTCTCCACAAAGAATTTGACACGGCACTCAAACACCAGCAAACCAGCCATCCCAGCAGGTAAGAGAAGGCACAGGCTCCAGCATGTTTGGGAAACAGGGGAGAATGAAGGAAAAGTATTTACATGGGAACCAGTTCTGTTAAACTGTTGGCAAGAGCTAAATATAAAATCCAAACTGGGTATAGCATACAATCAATCAGATCAGATGACCCAGATCCAGCTGTCCAAAGAGGGACTTAAATCTGCCAGAAAATCAGGGGTCCCACATGGCACACTTCAAAAGAGTCAGTGCAGAGCTAATGAGTATGTCACTGTGAATAGAAAGGAACCTCTCAATTACCTCAGGATCTCAAAGTCATAGTAGAATTTCATGGTTTGTAGTGACCCAGAACCAAGTCTTCCAGTTCAGAGCGTAGCTTGAGATTTAAAAAGCAGGAATTAAGCTAGAAAACAACATGATGCTAATCAGTATGGCTTCCCCTATCTGAAATGGCCAAATTTTCCACCTTTCTAGGCCAGCCAGTGAAAGATTGGGGTCCAAATAAGGGAAAGAAGAAGATCAAACCGGCAAAGAAAGGGCCAACCACATCTTTTTTAATTGTTATTAATCAAGGGAAAGATGCAGGTAAATGACTAACTAAACTGCAATTCTGGGCCCCTAAGAAAGACTATCTGAAAGGGCCTCTTCTACCTGGTAGTTGTAAAAGTAACACCTCCCCAGTGGAGGGGTCTTTTCTCTCCCAGGAGGCTGCATAGCAATATTTCTGAGCAAATCTTTCCTTGGTTTGACATCTACTAACTTACTGATGGGATGGGCTTGCAAAGACTACATACAGTGAGGGGGAAAAGGCATCCAAAAGAGACAAAAAGGTATATTTGTATTAGAAGGGGAAAAAAAGAGGGGCATGTAGGTGGCAGTGGATACAGTACTGGCCCTGGAATCAGGAGGACCTGAGTTCAAATGTGACCTCATATACTTAACAGCTGTGTGACTCTGGGCAAGTCACTTCACCCTGTTTGCCTCGGTTTCCTCATCTATAAAAGGAGCTGAAGAAGGAAATGGCAAAGCACTCTACTATCTTTGCCGAGAAAACTCCAAATTGGGTCGTGAAGAGTCTGAAACAACTAAACAGCAATAACACTTTTATTCTTAAAAAAGAAAAAAAAAAGAAACTCTCCAGATTTCTACTGTCTTAACTCTCACATGTTAGGAAAAGGTCCTCTTACCATACAGCTAACTGGTGGGAGTAGAAACAGTTCACTCTGGGAACATGGTCTATGTTATTGTGAAATTGTGCCAATCGAGTTAAATGATTTACTTAATAGTAAGGCAGCAAGATCCCAAGCTGATTCATTTCCATATGGTATCCACTGCTTGGCTCAAATTTCTACTATTTAGTGAGTGGTGCCTAAAAATCACATTGTGAATAGAACGTAGGACTTGGAGTCAGGAAGACCTAAGTTTGAATCCTGCCCTGGATACTTTTCTAGCTGTGTGACTCTGAGCAAATCACCTACACTTTCTCAGCCTTAGTGTCCTCATCCATAAAATGGGGATAATAATAGCACCTATATCCCAGGGTTATGGTAAAGATGGGATGAGATAATATGTAAAGCCCTTTGCAAACTTTAAAGCACTATATAAATGCTAAGATCATTCTTTAAAAAAATAACAAACTTCACATTTTAAAACCAAATTGAAGCTAGGCATGGTAGCTCATGCCTGTAGTCTGTGCTACTGGGGAGGCTAAAGTTGGTGGCTTGAGTAGGTGTTCTGAGAGATAATAGGGCTGAAAGCCTATAGGGTGTCACCCTAATTTAGAAAGTAGGAGTTAAGCTAGAAGACAACATGGTGCTAACCAACATGGCTTCTCTGATCTGAAACAGCCAAATGTTTTCCTATTTTAGCCCTGCCAATGAAATATTAAAGTCCAAATATGGTAAAGAAGATTAAACCACCAAAGAAAGGACCAACCACATTTTTTTCATTATTTGTTATTAACAAAGGGAAAGGTTCACCAGCATGGTAAACCACCAGGTTTGGAGGGTCACCAGGGGGCTTAAAGAAGACTGAACCAACAAAGCTCAGAATATGGAGCAGGTTAAATTTTCCATGCTGATCAGTATTGGGATCAGCACATGAGTAGCTACTGTATTTCCAGCCTGGGCATGAGATTAGAAGACTCCATCTCCCTACAACAAACAAACAAAAAAAAAACCAGGCAGCTAGGTGGTGCAGTGGATAAAGCACCAGACCTGGAGTCAGGAGGACTTGAGTTCAAATGTGACCTCAGACACTTGACACTTACTAGCTGTGTGACCCTGGGCAAGTCACTTAACCCCATTGCCTAGCCAAAAAAAAAAAAAAAACAAGTTGAGTGACATTGAGAACTGGTATCAAGAAGGGGTTATAATTGATGTAAATGTCTTTCTTCTAGATGCACGCAAGAAAAATCCACCGATAAAGGCCCCAAAAAAACCTGTTTCTTCCATTGAGCTTCCCAAAAACTATGACATTTCCTCAACTGAAGAGGTATTAAGTTATCCATATAAATAAATATCTCCTGAACAACAGTTCAGCACAAGGCAGCTAGGTGGTGGCAGCTAGAGTGCTGGGCCTAGAGTCAGGAAAACCTGAGTTCAAATGTGCCTTCAGATTTTTACTAGATATGTGGCCCTAGGCAGCTCACTTCACTCTGTTTGCCTCAGTTTCCTCATCTGTAAAATGAGCTAGAAAAAGAAATGGCAAACCACTCCAGTATTCTTTCCGAGAAAACCTCAAATTTGGTCATGAAGGGCCAGACACAAGATCCTCTCAATTAGATCAGTACTCCTAATCTGTTTTAGTATAAAGACCCTTTTATAAACATCTAATAAATTGTTGAGGGCTTTCATATGATATTGTGGTAACACTTCTGTTAGTGTCCACTGATTAACAAAATATGCGAGAAAGCATAATTCTTTTAAATAAATTTGTACTTCATTTATTACAGCAGCATCTACATACCACTGGGGAAAAAACTATATATGTAACACATTAGTCCACAGAATCTATATTTGCTTATTTATTATACTCTGTTCTGCTACCTATTTTATTGGGGCTAAATAAAAATCAAAGTGGTAAAGCTTGATATGCACATGGATTTATGGAGTTATGCCAGGAATGGTCCACCAGTGGCCCATAGGCCACAGCTTAAGACTTAAAAGCTCCTTGAATGAGTTGGTTTCTTTAATCTTTCTTTCAATTAACAAAAGTCTATTTCTCTTCCTTCCCACCTCTCCCCTCCACTGGAAAAAAAGGAAGAAAAACAAAACCCTTGCAATAAATAAGTATAGACAAGCACAACAGATTCCTGCATTGGCCACATCTAAAAAATTTGTGTCTTGTACTACACCCTAAGTCTAGAACTTCTCTGTTAGAAGATGAGTAGTAACAGGGCAGCTAGGTGGCGCAGTGGATAGAGCACCTGAAGGAGGACCTGAGTTCAAATCCAGCTTCAGACCAACCATTTGACACTTACTAGCTGTGTGACCCTGGGCAAGTCACTTAACCCTAATTGCCTTTAAAAAAAAAAAGGTGAGTTGTAAGGGGCAGCTAGGTAGCACAATGGATAGAGCATCAGCCCTGGAGTCAAGAGGACCTGTGTTCAAATCTGGCCTCAGACATATAACACTTACTAGCCGTGTGACTCTGGCCAAGTCACTTAACCCCAATTGCCTCACAAAAAAAAAAAAAGATGAGTAGTATGCTTCATTGTCAATCCTATGGAATCATGATTGGCCATTGTATTGATCAGAGTTGTAAAACTTTTCAGAGTTATTTGTTGTTATAGCATTCTTTTTTATAATTTAATAGTATTTTATTTTTCCCAATTACATGTCAAGACAATTTTTAGCATTCATTTTTACAGTTTTGAGTTCCAAATTTTCCTCCTCTCTCCCCTTCCTTCCCCTCTTTTTTTAAAATTTATTTTGCATTATCAACAATCACTTCCATAAGCTTCTGAGTTTTAAATTTTTCTCCCCCTCCCTCCTATTACCCTCCCCAAGACAGTGCACAATCTGATGTAGGCTATGCATATACATTCCTATTAAACATATTTTCACATTAGTGATGTTGTAAGGAAGAATTAGAACCAATAGGAGGAACCATCAGAAAGAGGAAACAAAACAACAGAAGAAAAAAATGGCAAATAGTATGCTTCAATCTGCATTCAAACTCCACAGTTCTTTCTTCTTTGTGGATAGCATTTTCCATCATGAGGCCTTTAGAGATGTCTTAGATCCTTGTATTACTGAGAAGGGTTAAGTTTATCAATATTAATCATCGCACAACGTGACTGTTATTGTGTACAACCTTCTCCTGGTTCTGTTCACTTCACTCAGCATCAGTCCATACAAATCTTTCCAGGTTTTTCTGAAGTCAGCCTGTTCATCATTTCTTATAGCACAGTAGTATTCCATTACATTCATATACCACAACTTGTTCAGCCATTCCCCAATTGATGGACATCCTCTCAATTTCCAATTCTTTGCCACCACAGAAAGAACTGCAATAAATATTTTTGTACATGTGGGTCCTTTTCCCTTTTTTATAATCTCTTTGGGATATAGGTCTAGTAGTCATATTGCTGGATCAAAGGGTATGCACATTTTTACAGCCCTTTGGGCATAGTTCCAAATTGCTCTCCAAAATGGTTGGATCATTTCACAACTCCACCAAAAATGCATTAGTGTTCCAGTTTTCCCACATCTTCTCCAACATTTATCATTGTTTTGTTTCATCATGTTGGTCGATCTGATAGGTGCAATGTGGTACCTCAGAGTTGCTCTGATTTGCATTTCTCTAATAAATAGCGATTTAGAGCATTTTTTCACATTACTATAGATGGCTTTAATTTCTTCATCTGACAACTGCCTGTTCATATCCTTTGACCATTTAACAATTGGGGAACGTTATAGCATTCTTATTGCATATGTTGCCATGCTGGTCCTGCTTACTTCACTCTGCACTAGTTCTTACATATCTTCTCAGGTTTCATTGAAAGCATCCCTTTTGTTATTTCTTTCAGCACTCCATTAAAGCAATTTGGAACTATGCCCAGAAAGTCACCAAACTGTCCATTTGATCCAGCTATCCCACTAGGCCTCTACCCCCAAAGGAATCAAAGAAAAAATAAAAGGATCTGTATGTATCATGGTAGCCAAAAATTGAAAACCAAGGGAGTGTCTTCCTATTGGGGAAAGGCTAAACAAATTAAGGCATATGAATCTAATGAAATATTATTGTGGCATAAAAAAAAAGATGAAATGGAATTTCAGAGAAAACTAGGAAGACCTCTGCATATCAACATGGAATGAAGTGAGCAGAACTAGGAGAATAATGTATACAATAACAACACTCTAAAGACAAACATGATAACTACACTATAGAGAAAAACAACTTTCAAACACTGGAAAATTCTGATCAATGCAATGATAAAGCTGGAGTCCAAAAACATGCAGTTGAAATATGATTTTCCCCACCTGACCGAGAGGAAATGAACTTTAAGGGCAAAAGGAGACATACATCTTCAAACCTGGCTAATGTGGGAATTTGTTTTGCTATACTACGCAAATAAATAAATAAATGAATGAATGAATAAATAAATGAATAAATAAATAAATAAATAAACAGATAAATAAATAAATAGAACATTTTTGTACATATAGAAGCTTTTCTTCTTTTCTTGATTTCTTTGGGGTCTAGGTATACAGACAGTTTGTAAGCTCTTCAAATATGGAAACCTCATTCACCATTTCTTGGGCTTCTGCTTTCCAGAAGCTAGTTCAAATTACTTCCCTAGAGGCTGTTTCACATGTCCTACACACACTCTGTTCAAAAACCTTTTAAACTCCTTTTGAGCTCGACACATCATGGCCAGGCTATTCAATTCAATCCCACAAACATTTATTAAGAGTTTGCTAGCTGCGAAACATTGGCAGTACAGGGGTGTAAAATGGCATAGTCCCCTGCCCTCATTAAGCTTAAAATCTAACAAGAGTAATAAGATGTAAACACCAATAAGAATGACCAAAAGGGCTGTAAGCTTGCTGCAAATTTTACATTTAAGGTTTTTTAGTGGAGGTGATGATTCAGTCAACCAATCAGGTACATGATTCCTCAAATAATGTTGTATTCTTTTATTTAAAAGTGGTTGACGAGTTGCAACTTGAAAAAACTGAAGCTAGAATTGCCTAAACTCTTGTTTGGCACAAACTCTATTCATCAGAAGAAAATGGAAGATGCCTTACAGAAGCAAATTTCATCCAAAACTCTAACCTACTTCCCAGTTGCAGAAGTCAAGGTCAGTTCTAATTTGCAACCTCACCAAATACTGTATGCAGCAGCTTAGACCAGCCTGCTGGGTTGTGGGGAGCTGGCACATATTGCATGGGTAAGTAGCTCATCACTGCTAATTTGTCTGCTGCGAAGATAGGGCCTAAAACTCATTGCTTTAGGCATCTTAAATTAGGCTGTCCTTCAGAGTGCAGAAACATCTGTGTTCTGGTACATGAGAAAAGGGTTATGATCAGCCTCAGAGGCATGGAGGGACACACTCAAGAAAAATGATTTACCCAAATGTAGTAAGCAAAGGCCTGCTGAAAAAAACAGCAGCCGATGACAACTGCACTGAAGTTGAAATGTAGCTTTAAAAAAAATCTCTCCCACCTTTGCCCTTACACACCACATTATCGCATCTGAGAGAACTACAATTAAGGCTAAAGGTAACCAAAAGTAAAAAAAAAAAGGCAAAAATAACCATTTGTAGTGCTTTAAGGTTTACAAAATGCTTTATTTATCTAATTCCATTCTCACAACAACTCTAGGAGGGTGTGCCATTATTATCCCCATTTTGCATAGGTGGAAAAGAGAGGCAGATGAGGGTTGAGTGATTTGCCCAGGATTACTAAATATCCTAGGCAACATTTGAACCTAGGTCTTCCCAACTCCAACTCCAGCACTCTATCCACTATACATCCTAGTTGTTCCAAGAATTTTTGGTAAGCTCCTGTCCAATCTAATCCATCTAAGTGGAAATCATGGCTCCCTCACTTCTTGTGATCTGGTTTCCTATCAAACTTTTTGTTTTAGAACTGAGCTTGGTCTATTTTGTTGTTGTTTTAATTACAGTAACGTTTGCCATGAATCCTCACAGTACTATTCAACAGTGTAAATTTCAGAAATATATGGGACTTAAGTTTCAGAGCAAAATTATGCTGAACAGATGTTTGGGAAAGCATTAACCACAAATAAAATTAAAAGTGTCTAGTGGGATTGGGTGGGGGGGAGGGAAAAAGTGAAAAGGGGAAGGGCACTGGGGATAGGGTTGCCAAAAAAAAAAAGAGGTTCCTTGAAATATTTTTAAATGTCCAGAAGAGCACAAAAGGAAGAGTAGCAGGAATCACAGACAAGCAGCATAGCTTTGAAAGTTACTTGCCGAATTATAAACTTTAAAACAAGTTACACATAATAGAAATTCACAGTTTGATGTACCTACTCCTTCTGTTCTACCATGTATATGGAAATACTCATGTCATTTGGTGTTTAAGTACGGAATAAAAAACCACCTCTGCTTTAGGTCAGTGATGTCAAACTCAAACAGAAGTGGGGCCACTTAAACCATATACAAAGATCCCTGTGGGTTCCATATTGACCTAGTTTTAAAACATAATATTACCTATTTTTATTGTATCTTTATTCTGGTAAATACTTCCCAATTACTTTTTTTTTTTTGGCGAGGCAATCAGGTCACACAACTAGCAAGTGCCATGTGTCTGAGGCTGGATTTGAACTCAGGTCCTCCTTACTCTAAGGCTGGAGCTCTATCCACTGCCCCATCCAGCTGCCCCACCCCCAATTACTTTTTAATTTGGTTCTGCAACAGTTGTCAGCCACATTCATGTTTGACATCTCAGGCCTAGGCAACTCTCTAAGACTATACATTTCAGGGACCAAGAAGTTCTCTATACCAATAAAATCACAAGTCCAGCTCTTCTCCCTTAAGTAGTTGATGGGAATCAAAAGAAACATGTCTCCATTTGTGTCATGTGCTTTCCCCATCCTAGTGCATGATAAAACATCTGCAGTGCCAGGATAAGGATTTAGAAGAGTACATGGAACAGACAGAGAAAGCAAAAAAATGTTATATCAAACGGATTCAGTGGTTGCTGACAGGTAAATTTCTTAACCTTAAAGGGTATTGGGGAAGCAGGGAATAATAGCATAGAGGCAGCCTCATGCTATCAAAGCCCAAATTTTAGTTCCAAGATCTTTTATAACCCTTCCTTTTCCTGACTCAGCTCCCAAGCAGTGAGAATCATTAAATCAATCAATAAACATTAAGTGTTTACTATGTGCCAGGCATCCTGATATGTCCAGGGTAAAAAAGATAAAGGAGAAACAGTCCCTGCCTCCCATTCTAACGGGAGACAACACAGAGCAATAGTACATACAGACTACATGCAAAATGCACTAGCCACTGGAGGGTGGAGGGGTGGGAAATAGAGGGCATTAAATGTTTTATTGTATTTTTATTTATTTTGTTAAATATTTCCTAATTATATTTTCTTTTTTGTTTGGCCTGCACTTAGAAACGTTCGGGCTGTCCTTTTGTTTGATACCTATGTTCTAAAGCATTCCTTCCTAATAGTACATCAAGATATGAGAATGTGTCCCTAGGACATTCTTTCCATAAATGTCTTGAATGTCCTTACTTCACTTGGCCAATTGGGTTTTTTTTTGTTTGTTTGTTTGTTTTTTCATAAGTGTGAAGATGCAGAGAAAGGGGTATGTGCTTGTACAATGACGGTCAAGGGAAATGAGGATACCTGCTCAGAAAGTCAGCCAATCTCATGCAAATTGGCATCCTCCATTCCTCCTCCCCGTCCTCTCTGTCCACTTGTTCTGGGTACATTTTGGTATGCCCTGCTCAGGTTACCATGGCTAGGAGAAACATACATTGTGAAGGGTACATGGTGAGTCTCACACAGTGACATTCTTCAACCTTTATCTAAAAACAAAAGGAAAATAAGGCAGAAGATTTCTCTGTAGGTGGGCTTGCCAGACACATCTGGGAGTCATCAAGTCACATAGTATTAGAACTAGGTCTTTTTTCCCAACCCACTTGTTTTACAGATGAGAAAGCTGAGGCCTAGAGGCATGACATGATTTGCCCAGCATCACACGATTAGTTTGTGACAGAGCCTGGACCAGAACCCAGGCCTCCAGGCTCTCAATACAGTGGTCTCCAGAAGTCTCCCAGAAGGAGATCCCACCCTGAACTTTAGCAGTAGGATGTCACCTGAGAAAGGCTCAATCAATAAAAATGTATTGAAGACTTACTATGTTAGGCACTGTGGTATATGCTATGTGGGGAAGGAGAAACAGAAAAACTGTAAGTAATACCTTATTCCTCTTCTGGGCCCCATCTTCATCAGGAAGCCGACGACTATTTGGCACTATTTTGGAGAGCAAGGTCTGTGTCATGATAGACCTATCAGAGTCCATGGGGTTATATCTGCAGCAGTTAAAGAAAGAACTGACTTTGCTGATTTGGGAACAACTGAGAAAATGTGACAGGTAAGAACAAGGAGGCCTGGGGAGGGGGAAGCCTGTCTACAGATGGAGAGAACTTCCTGCCAAAAGATTATGTGATTCAGTAAACGGCCACTCCATGGTCAGTTTATGGCCTAGTTAGTATACTTTCATCAAGCAAGCAAGGAGATGAGTGCCCTTTGAAATTCCCAGAGCAGGGGTTCTCTAATTTTTTGGCATCAAGTACAGTTGTTACTTACTCTTAAAAATTATTAAAAACCCTAAAGAGCTTTTGTTATTTTAGCTACATCTCTTGACATTTACCATTTTAGAAATTAAAACCAAAAATTTTAAAATATTTATTGTCATTTTTAAATATATTTTATGAAAAAAAATTTTTAAAAAATTAGTGATATATGCATGGCATTGCTTTACATATTTTGTAAATCTCTTTAATGTCTGCTTTAATAAAATCTGCTTCTGCATTCAATCTGTTGTGATATATTGTTTTGATTCAAATACATGAAGTAAATCTAGCCTCATATATATGTAGTTGGAAAAGGGGAGAGTATTTTAATAGACAAACAATGTCTTAGTTTTATTGTAAAAAGAGTTTTGACAACTTGAATGGCCAAAAAGGGCCTCAGAGACCATATTTTGAGAATCACTGGGCTAATGAATTGCAAAAAATGCTGACACTGAGCTCTGTTTGGGAAATTAAGCAATTTCCAAAATATCATCTCTATTACTCATCTTTCTGCTTGTCTGTTAATTCTCTCTAGGCAGAGGTTGAAAAATTTTTTTCTCGTTTTCTCAAAAGCTAAAATTGACCTAGAAAACAATAAAAACTTTAAAAAAAAAAAAAAGAAAACTCAGGTAGGGAAAAAAAGAAAATACAAGTAAGTTTTGTTTTCCCCACGCAAAATGAATGAGGCCTAATTTCCCAATGTTATCCCATCTGTTTACCCCTTCCCAACACCCAGTAATGTCTATTATGTTCCAACCAAAAGATTTCTCTCTCTCTCTCTGTCTCTCTTTCCGTGCCTCTCTCTCCCTCTCCCTCTTCCTCTCTTCCCCACATCCTCCACTGCTCCATTCTCTTCACCCCCAGCTTCAACCTGCTTGGTTTTGCAGAAGACCTATATGCATGGCAAGACAAACTGGTAGACTCCACAGATGAAGCATGCCACAGTGCTGTGCAGTGGGTGACCAAACTGGAAGCTCAAGGAAGTACCTCCATCCTGAGAGCTTTATTGGCAAGTTCTATCACCTTCTCTGTCCTCTCCCTTCCCCCCTAACTCCTGGCCCTTGCCCCCAAAGGAATGGAAACAGAAGAAGAGGGTCCAGAGATATGTGGGGATGTCTGGGTAGTACTTTGGTACTCAATGACAAGTCTCTGGGAACAAAACATAGATAACTGTTGAACTCTTGAGTTCTAACCCCTTCTTAATGATGGTGGTAGGCCTTGGACCCTTTAGCTCTCTAAACCTCATTGTACTTTTTTTCAGAAAGCTTTCACTTTTCAAGATGTAAAAGGACTGTACCTTCTGACTGATGGAAAGTTGGACTTGAACTGCAGTCTCATTCTAAATGAAGTTGAAAAGCTCAAGAAGAAAAAAAATATTAAAGTACATTCCATTTCTTTTAACTACTCATCTAAAATAGATCAGGAGACAAGGTAAAAAAGCAGGAACCTTGTATTTAATACCGTTATACAACTTGACATCGGAGAAAGTTTGTAATCATTTACAACATGATTTAGTTTTGAACTCTCTGATGTATATAGGGAACTTTTGGTAATATTTTTAATGCACAGTAACTACATCTCTTTTAACACCTAACCCACCCAACTGAGGTATATATATATGTATATATACATATATGTAAGCCAACCAATATATACATATATGTAAGCCAACCAATTAATCAATAAGCATTTATTAAGTGCCTACTAAGTGTCAGTACAGTGCCAAGTGCTGGCAATACAAAAAGAGGCAAAAAACAGTCCTTGCCCTCAAGGAGCTTACAATCTGATAGATAGATAGATAGATATGCAAATAAATATATTCAAATGCATGTAAACAAATATATTCAAAACAAGCTATATTTAAGATAATAGGAAAAATTAACAAGAGGTAAGGCACTAGAATTATGAGGAGTTCAGGAAGACTTCTAGTAAAAGAAGAGATTTTAGTTAGAAAGGTCAGGAATCAGAGCAGGGGAAAGAGAGCATTCCAGGCATGTGAGACAGCCAGAGAAAATGCCTAGAGCCAAGATATAGAGTGTCTTGTTCATGGAACAGCCAGAAGGTCAGCATCAACGGATCCAAGAGGATGTGGCAGGGAGTAAGGTGTAAGAAGATTGGAAAGGTAAGAAGAGGCTAGGTTTGTATTTGCTCCTAGAAGTAATAGGAAGCTACTGGAATTTACAGTGTAGGAAGGTGACATGATCAGACTTGTGTTTTTGGAAAATCACTTTTAGTGGCTGAAGGGTTCCAGATTCTCTTTAGGTCCCTAAAGGGGAGAAATACTTTAGAAAGAATCTGACATAATAGAGGAGCCAGCACAGCAGTCACGTTCCAATCTCCAGCTTACCATCTTGGAGACTTTTTGGAATTTTGCCCTGAGCCTCTCTCTCGGTTGAGCTGAGATATCTCACTCCCAATGGGTAAGTTCATTCACTCTCTATATTGTATGGCATATATTCTCATCTGTTTTGTCTTCTCTGACTTCTGTTTGCTATTAGCTTGGATAAATAGACTTATAGATAAATAGGATAAATAGGGTTGCTATTTGCTATGTATGTTCATTGTGAAACTGGGATGTATAGCTTGAGATAGTCCTTTTCTATTAAAGGATACTGATCAGGAACTCAGCTGGAACCTAAAAAATAATTTCCCTTAGACTTACGATATTTAGAAGGCAGATTGCTACAGTAGGAAGAAGCTGACATGATGGAGGTGCCAGCTTCTCTACCTGTCTGCGTTTTCCCAGAGAATTCTCTTCCTGTAGGGACCTAAAGAGAATCTAGAACCATATATCTTCTTTCTTAAAGCCAGAAGATCTCTCTTCTCTCAAGCTCTTGCCAACTGTTCCCTTCATGGAGCACTAAATATAATCAATTTCCACCAATGAGGAGAGACTCATGCAAATGGTCTTTGAAGCCCAGGTTACATACACAAAAATGGCATGGTTATTGATCTTCCATCAGTGGGTCATGAATTTTGAGTCTAATTTTTCCCTAGGAGAGTAAATAGATTCATTCTGTTTCATCCACATTTTTTTCTCCCTCTTAATCCCCACCCATCTCCAATCTGTGATAACTGGCACACATGGACAAGAGAAAGATGCTTGGATCTGGAGTCAGAGGACCTAGGCTTCCCATCCCAGTCCTGCTACCTAGTACCTATGTGACCTTGGACAAGCTACCTACTCTCTCTGGGGTTCAATCTCCTACTTTGTGAAAAGAAAGGGTTGGACTACATGAATTTTAGGATCCCTTCCAGCTCTAAATCCTGTGATTCATATGATGTACAAAAGCTATCTGGAAACTAGAGACACAAATCCTATGGTCATGGAACCCAGCAGAGCTGATTAAAGAGCCTCATTCAAAAGTTCACGGAATGCTGCCCTTGCTCTGCAGACTAGTATGCACTTTTGGATGCTACATCTGATTGCAGCAAGCTTCAGGAGTATAACAAGATTGAGGATCATGCCTATAAATGGTATTAGTGGCTTCCTTCTTAATTCTACTTCATACGGCCTAAAAGACAGTGTGGTGGAGAGAAAAGGGTACTGGAGGGGTCAGAGGTTGTTGTTCAGTCATTTCAGTCATGTCCAACTCTTTGTGACCTCATTTTGGGGTTTTCTTGGCAAAGATACTTGAGCCATTTGCTTCTCCACCTTATTTTATAGACAAGGAAACTGAGGCAAACAGAGTTAAGTGACTTGCCCAGGGTCACACAGTCAATAAATGTCTGTGGGTACATTTGAACTCAGGTCTTCCTGACTCTATCCACTGTGCCTCCTAGTCAGAGGACCTAGGTTCAAATCCCACCTCTGACCCTACTTAAGTGACCACTTAAGCTGTCTGGGCCATGATTTCCTCATCTGTAAAATGAGAAGGTTGCACCCCCTGAGACAGACTCAGGATGAAGAATGAAGGATATGTCTTTGGATACGGACAGTGTGGAAATTTGTTTTGCTTGGTTGTGTATGTCTATCACAATGGTTTTGGTTTTCTTTTTTTTTTTTTAATGAGGAGGAGGTAGGAGGGAGAAAGAGGATAGAACTAAGGTTCTCACTAAGGAAGTTCTTATCCCTCTTCCTCCCCCCCAGGAAAAGAGCCATCAGCTAACCAACAAGCATTTATTAAGCTCTCGATATGTGTCAGGCACTGTACTAAGCTCTGGATATTCCAAGAAAGGCAAAACACATGGTCCCTTCCCTCGAGGTATTCACATTCTAATGAGGAAGACAACATGCAAATAACTATATAGAAACAAGATATATATAAAAACAGCATAAATGGAAGATGATCTCAGGGGGAAGGCACTAGAAGAAAACAGACGGAAGACAGGAGAAGAATCACAGACAAGGAGGACAGCTTTGAAAGTTGGGTGTTGAATGTATTATACATTTGAAAAGAAAAGCAAACTCTATTATAATAGAGATTCACAGACTCCTGTACAATCTTCTCCTTTTCCAAAATGTATTTGGAAATGGTCATTTAATTTGGCATATGTTGAATTCAGCATAAAAGATAAAATGGAAAAAGACAAAATTTTTAAAACAATAATTTAAAACAATATAACAATATGATTGTTATAGCCCTTATATAATTTCTCTGTATCCTGAGACGGTGCTAATGTGCAGTAATTAGCAACTTGTACTATCTGCCAATAGCTTAGCAACTTCAGTCTTGATTTACTCCTCTCTAGATCAGTGATTACGTTTCTGAAAAAGCTGTCTAATAATACTGGGGGGCGCTACCATCACTGTCAAATGGAGTTGGAAGACTGCATGGAGATTCATAGAGTGCTGACCGAAGACACTATTGAAAAAAATGTATGTTTGTAGAGTTTTATCCTGGCATATTTTTCTTCATCAATACTTATTTTACCTTCCTCAACTTAAAATCCATCCTTTTTTTTTTTAAGCTAAAAGATATAAGGGACATGAGGCAGAGGCTCTTAGGCTTCCCAGGCCTCTCTCCCTTTGGGTTTCAGACAAAGGAAGGTGGGAGGATGGAGAATAGTAGGAATATGATTTCCATTGTTTTGTGAAAATCCTAGTCTGGCTATAGTGAGATTTGACTGAAGTAAAGGTAAAAATTATCTTTTTATTTACATCTGCAGTCTGACTTGTGTTAAAAAAAAAAATAATCACCTGGGGCAGCTAGGTTGCACACTGGATAGAGCACTGGGACTAGAGTCAGAAGGACCTGAGTTCAAATCCGGCCTCAGACAAAACACTTGACACTTACTAGCTGTGTGACCCTGGGCAAGTCACTTAACCCCAATTGCCTAAAATTTAAAAAAAAAAATTTTTAAATTAAAAAAAATCACTTGAATTAAAGGATTTCATGGTATAGTGGTTAGCGCTGGACTTGGAGTCAGGAAGACCTGTGTTTGAAGCCTGCCTCTGATAATTACTAGTTGTGTGACCTTGGGCAAGTCACTTAACTCTTCTAGGTCTATTTCCTCACCTAGAAAATGAAGGGGTTGGACCCCATAACCTCTAAGGTCCCTTCCAGCTGTGATCCTGAACAATGGAAAGAACTGCTCCGGGGAACAGTGAGCTCTCCAAACATGTTCAAAGACTGTATGACTGCAGGTCAGCTTGTCATCAAGCATTTTTTAAAAAAATTTATTTTTAGGCAATTGGAGTTAAGTGACTTGCCCAGGGCCACACAGCTAGTTAAGTGTCAAGCGTTTGGTCTGAGGCCGATTTGAACTCAGGTCCTCCTGACTTCAGGGCCAGTGCTCTATCTACTGCACCACCTAGCTGCCCCTCAACCAGCATTTTTTAAGCAACTACTCTGTACCAGGCAGTGTGCTAAAGTCAGGGGTGTAATGGAAGGAATTCTTGCATTGGGTGGGAGGTTATACTAAAAAAGACTTTAATCTGATGACCTTCTCATTGTTTCCCCTGCAAAGGATTCCTTTTTGCAATTATTTGAAGGAGATGACCTAAAGAAACTTGTTCAAGAGATACTCAAAGCCAAGCATTTCCTAAAGCAGGCCGAGTCTTTCAGGTACAGATGCTCCGGGAATATTTTGCTGGAAGGATGTTCATGCCAGAAACACTAAGGGAAAAAAAGGAAATAGGTGGAATAGGAAATAGCAGGTAGTATCAGAATGAATAAGATAGGGGCTACAGGTAGGGTGGAGTAAATTCACCGTGTAACAGAAATGACACTGGACTTGGAAGCCCTGAGTTCAAATCCTGAATTTGCTGGTTACCAGCCATGCAATAATTTATTTTTGCACCTTGGTGCTTTTTGTTTTCTGGTGAAAACAATACATGGCATTGAACACAGGTATTTTCTAAGAAAAATGCTTGATAGACAGAAAGTGCAATATAAGAATGATTTATTTCAGAGATACTTTGAGCTGTCAGAGGCAATGTGGAATAGTGGAAAACATACTGGATCTGTACCTGGGTTCAAATCCCATCTCAGACACTTGCTCTCTATGAGATCTTAGACAAGTCCCTTAACCTCTCAAAGCCTCAGTTTCTTCGTCTGTAAAATGGAGATAATAATAATGAGGTTTTTATAGTATAATTTATATATAATGTATAATTAGAATTTATATTGCAAATGTTAATTATAATTTACAGTTATGTAATATAATGTATAAGGGGTGGCAAGAAGCACCCCTCCCCCAATGCTACAATGTGTAAAATTCCACCACTGGAGAGATTCATCATCACTTTGTGTTGTGTTATTACTTCTCTTTGGATCCTCTTAAAATAAAATCGATCTTCAGAAGGGATAATGTCATAGTATTAGTGGCACTCTTCACTAACACTCTCTGAGTGGTAGTAAGTAGAAGTAAAGAGTCTGCATTAGAACACTGGCTATCTACAGGGAGGAAGGTTTTATTGAAAGGGAAGAAAAGGGTCATGACAAACTGTACTGACTTCATGACCTTTCTGTGGCCTAATCCTGAAGATGAGAATGTGATGTAGTTAGTGAGGGTATAGTCATAGGGATGCTCCTATCCATTGCTTCTCCTTCCCTTTTTCTTCTCCTGTTGTCACAGGTGCTGCCTCCTATGCTTTCCTCTTTAGGCCAAGTTGGGGTGAGAGTGAGAATTTGTTCTAGTTCATCGTACAATTTGGCTTCCCACCAAGGTGGACCATATTACTAGCAGGGTACTATTTCCCTAAAAGCGAGTGGCCAGAAGAACTAGGTCAGGCTCAGAAATGTGGGCATCCTGGCACATACCTTCTGGAAGGAACAGATACAATATCCCCTCTTCCTTCCTCCTCTCCTTTTTTTCTTCTTATTTCCCTTTCTTCTAAACTGAACCCTTTTTTTCCAAATTAGAAAAATTCTACAGAAGAACAATACTGAAGAAGTGCACATTCCTGTTTAGAAAAGAGCTTTCAGGTAAACTGTGGAATTTATCAAGTATTAGCAAAACTGAGACAGTTTTCTGTAGTGGAAAGAACACAGGATTTGGATTCTAAAGACCTGAGTGTGAATACTACCTCTGCTACTTAACTACCAGTAAGACTTTCCAACTGTAAAATTCGAGGGGGTTTCTTTTCTGCAGGAAAAATAAAACTGTGCTGCCAAATCTAGGTTACCTGAGATGAGGGGGACAAAGATGACCTGAGTAGCTGTAATTAATAATCCAAAATGCCAGTTGACCACAAACACTAGACTAATTAACAGGAAACCAGAGGGAATCGAAGAGTCACAGGATTTGCAATTCGTGTTTTGGGAGAATTTCTAGATTCTGGTCCCAATAAATAGGCTCCATGAAAATTAATTTATGAAAGTTGGACTAGGTTATTTTTGGTTTTGAGTGTTGTGTTTTGTTTTGTGTCCAATAATGGCCTGTTTTTTCCTTTTTTTCCCTCCATGCTTTCCTCCGTGCCCTCTTCAGATATCTTCCGGAGTACTTCCATCAGTGTGGCTTCAACGGAGTAGAAAACAGTAGGACCAATCAGCCTATCCATTCATCCATCCATCCATCCATCCATCAAAATGAGTTGAGCTGCTGCTTTTTGGATGTCGTCTAGCAAATTTCTTGCTAAAGGACATGAACATGAGGATGTACATTGTGCATCAAATTATATATTTTAAACTGTATATTATATATAGTATGTATTTTATATAGTCATTTATGAAACAAAGCTACTTATTGCTAGAATCAAAACTGTTGTTTAGGATGTTAGAAATGATTACTGTTCTTTTCTTTATAAATCTTTGATGAAAGAAAGACCTATCTGCTAAACCTGGAACAAGGCCTTCTGTTTTGCCTGGAACTTTCTTGAAGTTGTTTTGTCTTTTTCAATTTGGAAAAAAATGAAAATGTGTAGGTAGCTGCCTTTTCTTTGGGTCTCTGCCAAGATGAAGGAAATAGCATGTGGTTGTAAGTGATGCTTCTCTTTTGAAGAAAATACTTCTAGACTGGTCCTTTATGTGAAGTGCTCTTGGATCCAATGAGTGGTAGAAGAGGGTCTTGGCCTTTTAAAAAAATGTAATTTATTTTTACAAGCATTTATTATCTCTTCCTCTCTCTTCCTCCTCTCCCCCTACTGAACCATTAAAAAAAACAACAGAAAAATAAGGCCTTCATCACATATGCAAAGTCCAGTGCAAAATAAATTTCCATATTGGCCATGTTCAAAAAATGAGGTCTCATTTTGCAATTCAAGCCCCTCACCTTTCTGAGAGAAGGTGAATGGGTGGCCCGTTTAATCTTCAGGCCTCTAGATTTCTGGTTTATCTAAATGGATCAGAGTTCTAAAGTCTTCCAGAGACATTTTTTCTTTGTAACTGTCCTCATTGCATTCTGTGATTCTGCATCATTTCAGAGAGGTCTTCCCTCTTTCCTATGAACCCATTTCATCGTTTCTTACGGAGTCCTGTTCTTTATGAAGTGCCCATTCACAAAGCATAGTAGTTCCATTTTAAAAACAAAACAAAACAAAAAACCCTAGCAGGAGATATATTTTAAGGAGATCCCGCCTGAGTCGACCCTTTGTGCAAAGTACCTCATTCAGAAGTTCCCGAGTTCCTTCCCTCACTTTGGGAATCACTGCATTTCCACTGTCTGTAAAATGGGAAGAGACCCCAATACAAAGGGAACTTGTATGCCCAGGTTAATTCGTGTTTACTAAGTGCTCTGCTATAACCAAAATATGCAATCCGTTTGGAGATGAGGCCAAACTTCAAAACTCAAAGCAAAAGTTAAAGTTCTGTCCAAGTGATTGGATACTGTTGGATGCAGGAGAACAGAGGCCAGGACTGAAGATGAAACTGTTTTCTGTCCACAACTATCTCCCGATTGACACCCCAACTCTATCTCAGCCCCCAAATGTTTTCTGGTGCCTCTGATGGAGGAATAAAGGGATACAAGCTGTTTCGGTCATATCTGGAGAGGGGCAGGGAGGTGCTCAGGTCTGCTTCAAGGCTCAGGAACAGAACCCAGGAGTCTCCTTTAGCTGGAAAGCAATTGGTGAGAAGAGCCCTGCACCTCTGGGCGTGTCGCGAGGTGGCCCCGCCCTTTGCATCCCGGCCCTGGCCCCGCCCCTCACTGACCATCTGGGCCGCTTCTGGAGGTAGGAGAAAACAGGTGTCCGAGGAGCACCCGGGGCGGAGACAGCTAGAGAGGGACCAGGTGAGCTGGGAGCCGTTACCTGGGGGGGATGAGGGAAGGGCAGAGGCACTCGGGCCTGGGCCTCGATGTACCGGTGCGGGGTATACGCGGCGTGGGGGGGCGGGGATGTAGTACCTGGAGTTAAGGAGGAGTATAGACCTTGCACTAGTGGAAAATCAGGAATAAAGTTTCGGGGACCAGGAGGTCGTGGCGGGGGGTGGGGGTGGGTGGATGTGCTTATGTCCACAGTTTGGGTACCGGCTCCATTCAAGCTAGTCTTGGCTTAGCCTCATCCTCCTTTGTGGACAGGGATTGGAGGCACCTCTGCCCTGCCGGTAAGAACCAGACCCCAGGTTAGACCCTAAACGCCGCCTTGTCCCTTTCCCCAAAGGCAACGTCCAAGACACACACTCCCGTCCACCTAACTTAGATCAGCCCCAGAATGTTAGAGCCTGTAAGGACCTTGGAGATCAGGTCATAGGGTCATAGATTAGAGCTGGAAGGATCTCAGAGGCCATTTAGTCCAACCTCATTTTACAGAAGAGGAAACTGAGATCAAGAGAGGTTAGTGGAGATGGGATTAGATCCGAGGATCTGGGGCACAGTCAGCGCTGTTTACACAGTACCATACTTCCCCAAACAGATGTTAACCCACCCAACTTGTTTCATCCTGAGCAATTCAGGTTTTTCCATAAATCTTCACTTTTGGTATATCATGGGTACCAGTGAAGCACTTGGTCTGCCCATGTGTTATACTTTATTCTCTCTACATTGAATTCTTCAGTTATAGGAATGTGAAGTCTAGGGAGTGATTTTTCCCAGGTAGCAGTGGCAGAGAGAAGAGAAACCCAGGTCTCCTAATTCCCAATCCAGTGCTGCTTACACTATAACAACCTCCTCCTAAAAAAAAATTCTTACCCCATACAACCCTTAGTTTTGTGGGATGGCGTGGGGTGGGGATACCTAGGGCACTTCTCCAGAGCTATACTTGCCTTAAAAGACCCATCCTCCCACCAATCACCTTCACTCTCCTAATTAGGAGTGTTTCATTAGTTATTTATACTAATGACTATTCACTCGACAGGCATTTATTAATCACAGATTATATGCAAACATTGTGTTAGGCATTTGGGAATACAAAGATAAAAACAAAACAGTTTGCATTCTACTTGGAGGAACATAATATGTTCACAGAAAAATACAGATATATTCATATTTACGTACAATACATACAAGGCAATAACTGGGGAGAAGACACTAATAACCAGGGAGCATCAGGAATGTTCTCGTGTCGGATGCACTAAAGCTGAGACTTGAATAAAGCTATGGACTCTAACAGGCAGAGATGAAGAGGAAGTGCAATACCGGGGCATGTGGGACAGGCTCTTAAAGGCATGGAGGCAGAAAATGTCATATGTGGGGAAAAGCAAATAGGCCCATTTGGCTGGAACATGGAGTGTAGGGTGTAAGGAAGAGTGGTGTGAAGTCAATCTGGAAAGATATGCTGAAGCCAGATTGTGAGAGACTTTAAAATGCTAAACAGAGGAAGCTTTCTGAGAAAGAAGTTATTCATCAGACCTGTGCTTTAGGAATCTCACTTTGGCAATTGTGTGAAGGACAGATTGGAGAAGGAAGGGACTGGATTTTGGGAAACCAATTAGGAGGCTATTGCAATAGTCCAGATGAGAGATGAAAAGAGGCTGGTCCTCAATAGTAACCGTATGAGTAGAGGAAAAGGGACAGATTCAAAGCGTGATGGACGCAAAACTGACAAGAGTTTGGACTGGATATGGGAAGTGATGGGAAAGTGAAGAGTAAAGGATGAAGGTTGTGAACCTGCATGATTTGGAGGATGGTGGTATATCCTTAACAGAAATAGGGAACTTAAGAAGAAAGATGGGTTTGAGAGGAAAGATAATAAAATTTCATATGAGGCATGTTAAGTTTGATCTTCAGGTGGAGATATCCATTAGGCAGTTGGTGATATAGAACTACAGCTCAGGAGAAAGACTGTTTGATATAGAGATTTGAGAGTCAACTGCATAAAAATGGAACAGAACTATTCACAAGAACGCCCTGAGAGGGTATATAGAGAGAAAATAAGGTCTAAGACTACCTTTAGGGACACTTATGTTTCAGAGTCAGGACACGACCAGCACAGGAAACTGAGGGGCCAGACGGGTAGGAGGAGAACCAGGAGAAAGCAGTGTCATGAAAACCCAGGAAGGAGAGATTATCCAGGAGGAAAGGGTGGCCAACAGTGTGGAATGCTGCAGAGTTTTCAAAAAGAACAAGGAAACTAAGAAAAGACTATTAGATTTTTCAAGATCTTTGTTGACCTTGGAGAGAGCAGTTTCAGTTGAGTGAGGAGTTTGGAAATTCAGTTAAAAGTGGGTTGAGAAACGAGTACAGACAACTTCTTGGGGTTTGGTCGTGGAAGTGAGGAAGACTACATAGTGTGACTATGTGCAGAGATGTCCCTAGGGTAAACCCAACTGCCCAAGGCCTGTCCTTGAAGTCAAGGGAGGCAGCTATTCAGGGAGGCAACAGCTCTCAGCAGATGATGTCAAAAACAGAAGTGAAATTCATATACCTACAATTAACCCACACTGGGCTCTGCTCTCCCTCCCCTCCCACATCCAGTAACCAGGTCCTATCTTTTCTATCTCCACAATATCTTTTGAACTGGTTTCCTTCTTTCTAATCCTCTTGCTATTTATTTTCTTTGTATTTGTTGCTTTATATACTTATATATACACTGCTGGCTCCCCCATTAAGATCTTTGAGAGCAGAAATTGCCTCATTCTCTGTATTTATATCCCTAGCACCTAGCACAATGTCTGGCATATAGTAAGTGCTTAATAAATGCTTGTTGACTGATTACCACTCACTTGAAGTAGTGCCAAGACCCTTCAACAGGTTTTCCTGCCACCATCCTTTTCCTCTTGAATTGATTTAACCCACTATCAGATTATTCTTCCATGTATAGATGGATCTGGACAGCTCAATTCAACACACTTTTATTAGCTGCCATAGAAGTCTTCTGATGCTGATGCTTCATTGTGGCATGAAGGTGATCCTGAGTCCTCAAAGACAATGACAATAAAATGTAAGCACTTACAGGTCTTACCAAACCAGAAAGACCTTGATGTAGCTTCCCAGTGATGGAGTGGCTGTCTTGTCTGAAGACCAACCTAGTTAACTTCAGAAACTTATTCGCTCAGCACATATTTATTAAATACCTTCTTTGTGCAGATTACCAAATTATGTGTTATGGGACCAGACCGTTGTTTCCCCAGACATTTTTTTCCAGTCACAGCAGCTCACACTTGGTACAGTATAAAGAGCTCTGAGTTTGGAATCAAAGAACCTGGGTTCACATCCCAAAGCTGCCATTTATTAACTGTTATGCCACTTTGGAAAAGTTACTTAGCTTCAGTTTCCTCATTTGCCAAATGAATGGGTTGTACTAGATGGCTTCTAAGTTCCTTCCTGTTCTGGGTCTATGATTCATTTACTAAAGCACAGAATGACTGATTTGCAAGGAATAGCAACAAAGTTATAGATTCTTGTATTATCCAAGTATTTGCCAAGCACCGT